GCGGAACACGGTATGCTGATGAACTACGGCGTATTCACCGGAATCACAATGTTCGCACACTGCACTAGATACCGTATGGGATATGACACAAAAGATAATGCAAAAATTGATCATCGAGTCAACGAAAGGACAAAGGAATTCTAGTTTGGTTAACTAACGAAATTTGGTTTCCGTCGAGTTTCTCTTTATTGAGCCCTTTCTGTCTATTCGTTGGTATAGTTCACTATATTTTGCGTGTATACCACATTGCACAGGCTCATCTTTGAAACGTTCGCAGTGACATCAAAAAATGCCTCACGATAATTGATTAGCCACCTTGAGATGGAGTTGTTTTGAATGTTGACCCAAATAAATATTTAACACAGATTCCTTGCTTTCTCAGGAAACTAATAAAATAATTCTTCATCTAAAAGATAGATTTTTATGCATATTACGATATCATTAAATTTTTCTTTGGAGGACAAATGCATTTAAAAAATTTAACTGGTTATTCTTAATGTAGTTATATTGACTCCTGAATGCTGCAGAATGAAGCCTAAGGTAAAACTTTGATCAGTCGTGCCTCGTTGTTTTGTGCTGCCTGAAATTTAGGAAACCTTGCAGCGTTCACTCTGCTTTGAGCATTTACAGTTTCTCAATGATGTCATCAATGTTTGACGCAACTCTTAAGAACTAAATGTCGGAGAGCTGTTCGACTGAGGTTGTCTTACTGTCAATGTAATGGTCGGATTCATCAACGAGAAAATTGAACAGTAGCTGTAGGCAATCTGTTGCAACTGAGCGGAGACTAATTTGAATAAAGGAGCGTGTCTTTCCCGCTGTTTAAACGCACCCTGCATTTTGCTACCGGCTGTTCGGAACGTAATGCTATCCACACAATGGCGTGTTCTTTTAGGTTATGCGAGGCGACTGAATAATGTGATAGGTAGTATGAGGCGGCTGCCGTCAGAGTTATGTCAAGTGGAGGAAACGGACTAAATATATTTACGAACAACTCCACAAATGGCACGAAGGTCATTGGTCAAATGCACTGCGAGACCGGAAGCTGGGACGAAATCCAGTCATTGCCGGTGGCTGCTTCTGGAGAGGGACATAGAGAGTTTGTCCCCGAGCCTGAGGTCAATGACCACAGGATGAGTACGGCCAGTTTCGCGGGAAGGCTTGGAGATCAGGCGCTGAAAGTACTAAAGTCGTCTCGTCGAAAAAGCCGATCAAGTTCTTCCCTCAGCAGCCTCGGTTTGGACACGAAACAATTTTCCAATTGTCGCAGTCACTATCTAAAGTGCAGAAAAACCGACTTAAGTGCTCATCACATCGGCATGATTTCTGTCAGGGGCGAGTAAGTAAAATTCATCAATGATAGTTTTCCGATTAGTTAGAATCGATGTATTCTTTTCAGAAAATCCGAAAAGCGTTGGGACGTGTTTCGATCCGTGCCAAGGACCAATGACGTTTTCGAACCTAAATGGGTCTCCATAGGAGCGCAGATTTTTAAGGTTCGTCATTTTCCTCGTACGATGTGCTCACTATCTTAGGAACATTTTCAGCTTGGTGTGTATATAGTGTTATTTGCAACCGTGCTTTCAAGTGGTGTCATATCAAAGCTCGTTCTCCTTTTAATGACGTCACACCTTCGAAATAATTTGCTATACGTTCCCTGCAAACTGTATGGTAAGTATATTGCATTTTTGATTCAATGGTTTAAACTTAAATGATAGCCTTTTATTGGTTTGCAGATAGCATACTAGATTTTACCACTGCTTGCATTCGGACAGTTACTGCCATTTCCACTTATGTGCTGAATATTGCAGTGACCACTAATTATTCTCTATTCACCTGTGGTTTTTCTTAATTTTGCTTTCGATAGCGAAGCATTCCCAGCAGCAACATTTCAGAAGGTCATGAAACCCCGAGGGTATCGATTCTCTGATGATTACGTAATAAATTCATCTTCCGACGTTCACAGCTTCATAGAAGAGGACATGTTAAAGTTAAAAATAATTTTTATAAACTTATTAATAGTATGTTTATATATAAATTCATTACTCAACTTGTAAATTCCAGCACACTCTCTGGCAATTCTATAAAAACTTTTGTAAATGGAGTATTCTTTCAACGAACTGAATATTACTATAGATAATCAAATCAATTACATCCCATTAAGTCCAAGGACTTTGCCGCCGTCAGCCGTCACATGGTTTTATTGGTCG